TAGTGCTTACATCGTGAAAGTGGGACTGTTTATTTTTCAAAATATATTAACCTTGGGTAAGCAGTTCAAAAGTACCAGCTATTCCACAGGAGAAAGATGAGGCTTTCTGCTCCTGTAAAGATAGACAGCCTCAGAACCTGTACAGGGTTGCTATGAGTTGGAACCGACTCCATGGCACATAACAACAACAACAACAACGGAGTTTTGGTGTGGTGCTGTGGGATAAAGCATTAGACCTCAATGTCTGTTCGAACCACAGGGTCGGTATTTCAAACTCACCAGTCGCTCCTCAGAAACCCTGTACAGGGTCATTATGAGTCAAAGCCAGTTCAGCACTTAGCAAAACAGGTTTTTGGTGTGTCTTTGTTGGCTTGTTTTTTTTTGTTTTGTTTTTAACAATAGGCACACATTACTGTCGTGATCATCTTTTTTTTCTCTCTCTCTAAAAACATGGGGGAGGGGAAATGTAGGCGTTGTAATAAGAGATAAGATTAACATTGTAGTGCAGTCCTGGTGTAGCACTACGGGTTAATGCACTGGACTGCAAAGTCAGTTTGAACCACAAGGTCATGGTTCAAGCTCCTCTGAAACCCTATACAGGGTCACTGTGGGTCGAAACCGACTCGACGTCACTTAACAACAACAACAACTCCTCTTTAATTAGATATTGTCGTTGTTGTTAAATGCCTTTGAGTTAGAACTGACTTACAGCAACTCTGTATAGGGTTTCCAAGGAGTAACTGGTGGGTTTGAACTACCAACCTTTGCAGTTAGCTGTCCAGTACTTATCCTACAGCATTTTACATGAGGAAAATGTAAGTTAAAACCACACAGCAATGCCACTAACACATCCAGGGACTCAAGTTAAAAACACTGATAATATCAAATGTTGACAAAGATATGGAGCAACTGGAAATCTCTTTGAAAAGCAGTTTGACAGTTTCTTATAAAATTAAACATATTTATCAGCAATTTCCCAAGAGAAAAAACAACTATGTCCACAAAAGACTGGTACAACAGTTCATAGCAGCCTTTTCCTCCTGTAATACTGGATTCCTGGTTTGGCGCTGTGGGTTAGTGTACCTTGACTATAAAGTCGTTTGAACTGCAAGGTCAGTGGTTGAAGCTCACCAGCTGCTCCTTGGAAACCCTAGGTCATTGTGGGTGGGAACCGACTCAAAGACACTTAACAACAACAACAATACTGAAAACAATGCAGGTAATGGCCATCTGCGGATGAACAATGAACAGTTTGTGTATGGCTACACCATAAACAGCCTATCAATGCAATGGAAGGCTACTCAGTAACAGTAAGGAATGAAGAGTTGATGTTGTTGTTGTTGCTAAGTGTCATAGAGTCATCGAGACCCTCTATAGGGTTTTCAATGGGTGGCTGGTGAGTTTGAACCCCCGACCTTGTGATTAGCAGTACAGTGCTGATCCTACAGGTCCACACCAGGACTCCACAGGCTCTATGATGGTGGTTGTTGTTGTTGTCAAGTGCCATCGAGTCGATTCCAACCCATAGCGACCCTGTATAGAGTTTTCAAGGAGCAGCTGGTGAGTTTGAACCGCCTACCTTGCAGTTCAAATAGCTTTGCAGTCTGGCACATTAGCCCACAGCACCACACCAAGACTCCATAAGACCATTGTTGTCATTGTGAAGCGCCATCAAATTGATTCCGATCCATAGCAACTCTGTATAGGGTTTCCAAGGAGCAGCAGGTGAGCTTGAACCGCCAACCTTGCAGTTCAAACAGCTTTTCAGTCTGTTACGTTAACTCACAGTGCCACACCAGGACTCCACAGATTGAATACATTGGTGGTGGTGGTGGTATGCCATAAAGTCAGTTCCAACTCATTGCGACCATGCCCTAGGATTTCCAAGGCCCTACAACTTGGCATAAATTAGTAGTTGCCCACTGTCGGGGTGGATAAGGGGTCAAGAAGGAAACTTTTGGGTGGTGGAATCTGTCTTGATTATGCCTTCGATCTTGATTTTGGTAGTGGTAACACGTGTAAAATTGATCAGAACTCATCACTCTATACATAGAAGGGGGAAGGGGTGTTTGATATGTTTCTTATACTTAATAAAGTTGATTTTCAAAAAAGAACAGTATTCACTGTACCCCCCTTGGGGGAGGCCTGGCAGAGTCTGTTGTGCCAAAGTGCACACACTTGCTTGGAGACATAATTACATTTTTTCATACCCTTTGCAGTTCTTAGATGTGCCACCTCTCCCGCTGACACAGAAGGGAGGAATCCCATACAGTGCCTTCATTCCAGCCTGCCTGGAGGACTAGTACTCCACATATGCCATCTCAGGGAAAGGTTCATTCTGAATGGATTGTAGAACTGGAGGAATTCATTCTAAGTGGGTGGGGTCATGAGAAACCTGGGTGTTATACTTATTCAAAATGCCTGGAAGCCAAGTGGAGGTCCTCCTAGAATTGCATCCGAGTTTTAACTATGGAATCCTCTGGTACAAGTCGAATCCAAAGTCGGAAGGAAGGACTGTGGGACTTGCCCTACCGCCTCCTTGGTTTTCCTTGTTGTTAAGTGCTGTTGAGTAGGTCCGACTCATAGTGACCCTGTATAGGGTTTCTGAGGAGTGGCTGGTGGGTTTGAACCGCTAACCTTGCTGTTAGCAGTCCAGTGCTTATCCTACAGGGCCATACCAGAACTCCTGATTTTCTTCCACGTATGTGTTCATTTGGGTTGGCTTGAGTGGGGTGGCATAGAGCACTGTGGATATTATGTGGGCCTTAACTCCCCAAGTTGTCCCTTAGTGATGCTCCACGGTGGTTGTTCTTGTTGTTGTTAAGTGCTGTTGAGTTGGCTCTGAGTGACCCTGTATAAGGTCTCTGAGGAGTGATTGGCAGGTTTGAACCGCCAGTCCTGATGTCAGCAGTCCAGTGCTTAACCTACAGGGCCACACTAGGACTCCTGCTACTAGGTACTCCTAAAGCATATCATTGATCCTGTTGATCCTGTCTCCTTTTCCTCTTCTCTCATTTCATCTTATCTGTGACCCCTTCTGCTTGAAGGTCAGGTGTTTTGTTTTAAAAACAGAATTGTTTTCTGTAATTTTCTGGTAAACTACATGGGAAAAGTCACTTGATTTCTTACCTGTGTTTCCTCCTGTTCTGCCCCGCCCCCAATGAATCCACTGGTTTCTCAAAACGCCAACTGGGGTGGGGTCTCTGGTGAGGAATCATCTGGGGACCCTGTGGGCATTTAGCTTTCCTGAGCACAGGCTTCCTGTCCATAAGTTTGTATGCTCCAGGAAGACAAAGAGCCTTTGTTTGGTGAGAAGAAACAAGTGTGTTCTTGGCCCCTCCTTGGGAACGGAGGGGAAGGCCTCAGTGTGCCCCCCATGGGGGAGCCCTGCTTCTTGGCTACAGTATTGCTGGAGAGTCCTGGGGGTCAGTGAGCGGCACTTTAGGTGTTTCCTATTAATTATTCAACCAATAAATATATATTTAATATCTGTGGGGAACAGTGACTGTTTTAGTAATTCCACCCCAGGAGTTGTCAAATAAGTTGATTTACCTGTTTTTCATACAAAGTGCTTATTAAAATAAAACTTTCACTCTGTTGTGAAGTATAAGTTGAAGACCTCTTGCAGAGAGAATAGAAAAGGGCCGGCAGAGTAAAAAGTTCATTTGCTTTTTGCCTTCAACCTCCCCTCAAGACATTGTCTTTGGGCACTAGCTCCTGGGGCTTTATACTACCTCACACGATTCCTTCGGAACTGAACTGCACGTATAAAGTCTAAAAAATGTACTTCTTTTTAAACAGTAAAAAAGTAATTTTCTAACATAATACCCAAAATGAAGTGCCACGGAGCCATTAGTAGTAAATTGAGTTTTTTGGTTTGTAATTTGTACAAAAACTGACAAGTACAGGGGCCCCCTGCTCCCCTCACCATTAGTCACTGGGCTGAGAGGACACAGAGGCAGTAATCGGCAAGGACCGGCATTCTGATGTCGACTTCAATTGCACACTTCATTTATTTAGACAGGGCACAGGCAGCAGCTTCTGTCTGGCGGCATCTCTGCACTGTTAGTGAATTTCGCCCCAGGGCAGCTGGGACGCTGCGCTGGGGCAGATGTTCTTTTCAGCCTATTCAGTGGCCATTCTTGGGAGTTGTTTACTGTTACTATGGTGACCTTCATTTCCATAGCAGCAGCGCTGCTGTTTCTCAAAGGAAAATGAATTTAGTTATAAAAGGATAATATTTTTTTTTCTCTGTGTCTATATAACCTGCCATCTGTCAACTGGTGGATCAGTTAGGCTTCCACAGCCTATTAAGAATTCTAGTAATGAAGCAATGACCACTTTTTTATGTTGTTGTTATGTTGGGCCTGCATTAAAAGCAATAACAGGTGTGGAAGGAAACGTTCCTCCTCATCAGAACTTGAATATTTTTTCTATTTTAAATGTTTTTCTTTTTTCTCATACCTTCCTCACTGCCTCCGCTGTGTATACCCACAGCCTCATGAAAGACAACGCATATTCTACTGACAAATGAACATCAATGAATGTCTTGTTTGTACCTCGCAAGATGCAGGTGTACTTAATGCACTCTCTTCTTGTGGCTGTATGTTCTTCCCAGTTCATTGACAATCCCAGTGGCTGACCTTCCTGTTGTCACCCCCCACTCTCCTACTTCTCCACCCCAGGAGAAAAAGTTTGGGGGGTACACAGAGCAGCAAATTGTCAGAAACAGACAGGATGAATCATGAAATTAATGTAAGAGAAGACCCCAACGCTGGTCTGATGAAAAGCCTGCCAACTTAAATGCCCTTAAATCTCATTCTAGAATCTCTCTTCCTATCCAATCCTAATGGGAAGAGAGTCCTCTTTGGGATAGCTCGTCTATTTCCAGCATTTTTTTTTGGTCTTCGTTGCATTCATAAACTGTAACTTACAGGGGGAAAAACACACACACACCAGCCCCGTTGTAAATAATGTTATTTATTGGTTGATTTTTCCAGATCCTGACATTGATGCTGCCACTGCCATGATGCTTTTGAATACTCCCCCTGAGATACAAGCAGGTTGTGAGTAGATATTTCTATAGCCTACAGCACCATAGTTTGTGAACTTAACCTTCTCGTTCATATGCCAGGCCATAGGAAGAGCCAATGCTAGAACTTCCGTTGTAGAATCCCTTTAAATACCGAAGTGCACAATTACACACATATGCATATAAACATGTCGTGCATATGTGTGAAGGCATGCATAGGTGTGCTTCTAAGATGAGAAAGTCCTGCTATCTCTTCAGAGCGTAAACCTGAGGGAAGTGAAGCAATCCCCGTAATGAATCCCTGTGGAACAGCCTTCCTTTCCCCTGCAGGAACTACGCCTGTGAGTTTGTAGTTCCTGCTAGAAGAGGCTAAATGGAGTCAGGCTAAGAGTCATAGAACTGAGCAGCGCCTATATTTAGACATTCCTTTCCCTTCGGCAACCTCATTAATCCCAGGCTACCGCTGCGGAGAGAGAAGAATGAAAAGTTTAGCGATCTGAGCCTTCAGGGGTTTGGAGTAGACTAAAGTGGAACCCACCATGGCATCCTCTTGGACCACCCCACCCAGCCAATTGATGGGAAGGCAAAGCTGGCGTTAGCTAGCACAATAGTACCTTTCTTCCCCATCTGTTGGTCATTGAGCCAGAGGCAGCTCTGGGACAGCTCTTTTCCTTCCTTGGGCTTGTCTCCTACCCAACATCTGGTACATTTTGGCTCATGGTCTTCACTGATTTCTAGGGCCAGACTACAGTGGTTGTATCTCCTTTTCAAGTCATGAAAAATGAATTTCATCTCAAAGATCTGCCCTGCCCCGTGTTTCCTCTCAGTTTGAGGCTAGTGCTTCAACTCCAGCCAGAACACTGTTGAGCTGGTCCACCAGGTTCTCTTTAGTATATTGTTGGAAACTTGCTCAACATTGCAGCTTCCTATGGATGACAAATCGCCGGTGTGGTGATGGTGGCGTGAAGTGGCAGGCCCCACCATAACATCACCAGCAACTGGCACCACCTGATTCATTCTTGATAGCCTGGTCTTCAGTTCACTGGGGACTTGGCACCCACATCACCCCCCACCGTGGAGAAGAAAGAGTCTTTCCCACCTACTGAAAGGCATCCATATGCAGGCCCATGGCAGGTGTGTCTTTGTTACCTGTGGACTGACAAGGGAGTTCTAGACCATTCTTCATAGCTCTCTGCTTGTCAAAGCCTTCTGACAGCTTGGGGAAATTCAACTCCATCCTTTCTTATTTGTTCTTTTTTTTTTTTTTTTTTAAAGACCCAGGAGATGCAGGAAAGCATTCTCAGGGAGAATTGTTCCTCTGCCTGGGGCTGCCATTACCTGCTCCTCCAGGTACAGAATTCTCATTTTCTCTTTGCTAAACGCAGATGGCCAGCAATTGAAATGTTTGACTGCACACACACTGCTAGGCAAATGTGTAAACCAGTGCTTTCCTGTAACTAGCAGTGCACCCCAAGTGGAGTTTTTCAATGGTGTTTTAAGTTACAGTAAGATATTTTTTTAAAGTGACAGCAAACAACCAGCCCCCCATGCGTAGATGACATTGCAGGAAGAACGCAGCCCAGATTGTAATCAAGTGACATAACTCATCGCTGTAGAAACCTGCTGATTTAATTAGAGCTGTGGACCATTTAAGCACTTTTCCTTAGCACCAAGTCACATTGTATGCAAGTGGTTTAAAAAAAAAAAGACTTTTGATGAATTGGCTTCTGGCATTAAGAGGGAAATTAGGGTTTTAAGGAATAGGCAAGGGAGGTGATCATAAACAGACCTCAGCAGCTTCCATTGTTGTTGTTGTTGTTGTTAAGTTCCATAGAGTCAGTTCCGACTCATAGTGACCTGGTATAGGGTTTCCAAGGAGCAGCTAGTGAGTTTGAACCACCCACCCTGAAGTTCAAACCAACCTTGCGGTCCAGTGCATTACCCTGCAGCACCACGCCAGGACTCATCTTCCATAGAAGTTGATTTTTACTGGTTTCCTGACCACCGGTCCACCGGTCAATAGGGAAACTTGAGGGAAAGATGTGGGTTCATTGGCAAATTAGTGGTATTTAATATTCTCAGGGCTAACTGAAGTTCCTCCTCTCTCCATCACTACCATACACCTAAACTGTACTCATTTTTACCATATCCTTTGTCTCCTTTCCTTCTCCATGTGAAGTTCGGGTTTTGAAATCTCAGCGTTCATGTTTTGAAGCTAGAGAGTCATTGTAGAAGGTTTTTCTGCCTAGCTGTGACCATTGTAAGAAATTCAGCCACAGCCTTCGAGATGTTTCCATGTCAAGAGGGGACTTAGAGACCCTGGAAAGAAAGAACCAGGAGTCCTCCAAACATCACAGAAGACGGTGCCCATTGGCTGTAGGCAGCAGATCAGTGCATTTAAAGACGCCATCTGTGTACTCTCCTTCCCACTGGAACCCTATTGTTCTTAGCTGCCGATTCATGTCAACCAGACTCATGTCAACAGGAACAAAGCCTTGCCCAGTCCTGCTGCATTCTCAGCATTGCCAACATGTCTGAGTCCGTTGTTGTAGCTTTGCTGCCAGTGCATCTCCCCGAAGGTCCCCACACCCTGTTGATTTTCTCCTTTACCAAATATCAGTCTACTAGTGATTGATCCTCTCCTGAGGATGTATCCAGAACAGTGTTCTGTTGTGATCCAAAGGTTCTCTCTGGCTCATTTTTAGAAGGTTCTCTCTGGCTCATTGTCTGGATGCTCCACTGAAGCCATGGGTCTCCTTGCTGGTATTTGAAATACTGGTTGCATCATAGCCACCATAGTACAACAGACTTGGCAGACAGGTGGTGGACCTGAACTTCTGAAATCCCCTCCAGATCAACGGACAGGTTGTAAAGCTCTTGTAGACTGGAAGCAGTCCTGGAGGAAGGCAGTGTTTGTTCATCAAGGGCCTGCTCTGAACCAGGCACCCAGGAAGCCAGGTCCTTACGCTTCTAGTAAACTCAGTCAGGGGACTGCACTGCCAACACTTTGGCTTCAGGTTCCAGTTAGCGCTTCTCTCCTCAACTTCAGTTTTACATTGCAGCTTCTTTCTTTTTCCTGGGAGTCGGTGGCAGACCTTGCCTTCTTAAAGGAGAAGTGTTAAGAGATGAAGCCACCAGCCCGGGCCCTGCCAGCCGATGTTTAAAAGTAGCAGGCAGTCAGCAACAGTGGTGGTGTGTGGATGGCCTGCCTCGTGACATTTGTGTGCCTGTGCCCTTGTGTGGTTGTATACACTAGTTGTCCAGGTCCGGGGTACTCCCCTGTCTGCAAGGGGGGGAGCGTGGGTTCCAGGAGCAGCATTTCCTCTCTGCCTATGTTCATCTCCCTTTAGGCTGGTGCTGGGCTTCTAGAGGGCTGCTGTTTATAACCCCTCCTTTTCACCTCCTAGGCTGCATGATGTCCTGGCCCAGTCAGCGGCCACTGTTGGCTCCAGCAGTTAGTGGCTGGATGGCTTGAAATGCTGGTAGTTTCCCATCACCTTTCTGAGCCGTTCCCCTTCAGGTTGCCCGACTCTTGCCACTTAGATCTGTTCCTCTAGTCCTTCCCTGGCTTAGTGTCTGCAAGGCCATCTGTGGGTGGGCGAACAGGAAGGAAACGCCCTTCACGAAGTGGGTGAGAACCAAGTCACCTTCAGCCTTTTCATCTTTCGAAGGTTCTACGCTGCCCTGGGGAAACCCAGGATCACACGGATTGCTTGAGTTGGGCTCCCTGGGCTTGACTTAGAATGAGGCAGCAGTGTATGTCCCATGGCAACCTCAGGTGACCACATCCCATTGCACTGGCAACACCAGCAATGTGTGTGAGACTGTCTTTTCCAGATGTGCCGGTTTACAACATGGAAAGCATCGTAGGAGGAATGCCAGCATGTCCTATACACTCACCAGGCCCCAGCTTCCAGAGATGGCCACCAGGGGGATTCGGCCACATTTTCTCTGAACTCTGGGTTATGCTTCTAGCAAGTGCATCCACCAAGGCCTTTAACTCCCCCATCCCAAAAAATGCTGGGGTAGGGGGTGAGGGGGTTGCTGAGTGTACTACTCCCAAATGCTAGTGTCTACTAAAGCACCTGCTTTGCAGTTCCCCTTTGACAAGCCCTCTGAGTCATCTTTAACCCCAGTGGAGGGACAGTTATGAAATCAAGAGGAGTAGAGTCGCCATTACTCATCTTCAAAGGTTTATATAATCCCTGGTTGGACTTTTCCCAGAGATCAACTCAAGATAATAAACAAACAACAGAATGGAACAGAATGTGAGGAGTTCTACACCCGTCCTAGAACTGGGATCAGACACAAGAGGGATGGTAGAAGAAAGGCCACCATGAAAGAGGCTGTGTCCTTGCATGCCAGACCCCCTCCCCAGCATGCTTCCAGTGAGCAGGAAAAGGGAGGATGATCAGAATCACCTGCTGTCCAGCTTATGGCCTCGGTGAGAGGCAGCCAGGGCTCCCCTCCAAAGGCAGCAGTAGGAGCTCAGAGGTTAATTTTAGAAGTTGTGAAAATCAAGGAAGCTAAGCTTCGGGAGGCATGCTGGGAAGCTGGGATGAGGAAGTGCTAGGGGGCCGACAGAGAGAGGGGGAACTCTTTTCTTGTGCCATAGATTGTATTTTCAAGCTCCCACAATTGCATTTCTCATATTTAGATCGCAATATGCTCCATTGAGTACTGTTGCTTGATTTGGCCTAATGTTTCTATGTGTACATGTTGCTTCCTTTCTGATAAAAATAAGAAAATTTAGAGCCACACCAGAACTTAAGAGAAAGTGGCTGATGAGCAAGTGTTAAGGACTCCACGGTTAATAATGGTGTTCCTTCATCTCAGCCACTTGAGAGCCTCAGACATGTCTTTGTCTCCTGTAGAAGGTTAGTGTGTCAGTTGATCTAACCAAGAAGGATGAGGCTGGAGGTATGCGGCTCTCTGTGAGAGAATGTGTATTTTCTTCTGTTGCTTACTTACCTGGCCGAATCCTCTGTGTAATTTCTGTGAGATAAATTGGTTGGTTTGGTTGGTTGGTTGGTTGGTTGGTTGTAAAGGTGTTGGTCTTTAAGGGTTTTGCTCTGCTTTGAGGAAAGTACAGAATAAATCAAAGAGAAAAAGTAGAGGTGTGCTGGTAGGGAGAGCCTGAGGAATAGGGTCACATTTCCATAATGTGAACAGTCGTGAATACGACCTCAGAATGCCTTTCTCCGAGCTATTTTAGCTAAGCTATGATGCGTTTTTCAGAAGCTGTGTTTATGACACTTGCGGATGAGGACAGAAAGGAGAAAAGATGGAGGAAGAGTTAAGTGTCGCAGCTGGCTTCTGGCAGCCAGTGAGTGAATTTGAACGCATCCACCATCCCAACATGAAGACCCCTGCCAGGGATAAGGACTGAGATATGCCAGGATTGGCAGAGGCAGTGCCTAACTGTAGTTCATTTGAGAACAAGTTCCAGGATTCAGGGGATGAGCCCAGTTTCCGTGCCAGCAGCCTTGTGAGGTTCAGGAAATAGCTCAGGCAAAGCCTTTTCATGCTGCAGGCTAGCTTTGTCCAGGAGCGCCTCTTTGAAATGAATACAGTTCATTAATCACAAAGATGTTGTAATGGGTTAATGCAGAGTTAGGGCTGAAAGAATTTCCCATGCCCTGACCCCATTAGCCCTTGTGCCTTTATAGATAATTAATAAGAAGATGCTTGAGAGGCCATGTAGGATGGTGGAAGGATGGTGATGAGGATGGTGATCTTATATAATGGACCAGCCACTGATCTAAACAGTTTATTTAGCTTCTCTAGTTGAATCCTCTGGTAGCGTAGTGGTTACGAATTGGGCTGCGAACCACAAGGTCAGCAGTTTGAAACTACCAGCTGTTCTGTGGGAGAAAGATGAAGCTTTCTGCTCCCATAAATATTTATAGCCTCGGAAACCCTGTACAGGGTCACTGTGAGTCAGAACCAACTCCACGGCACATAACCAACCAACAGTTGAATCCTCAGAATGATCTATGAATTATAGGCATGCCTACTTTGCAGGTGAGAAAACAGGCACAAAGAGGCTATGGCACTTGCTCAAAAGTCACAAAGCTGGAGGTGGAGCAAGAATTTGAACCGGGGGAGTCAGGCCCATAAGTTGTACTCTTATGCATCATGGTGAACTTCTCTGGAAGGTTGATGGAGAATTCTGTAAGGCAAAGTATGTCAAAGGAACCTGGTTATTCCTTCAGTAGGTGCTCAGTGAGTGCTGGCTTCCTGTCTTGTGTCTGTTCTACTGGGTTCTCCTTACTCAGGCTTCCCGCACTTGGGCTAATGACTCTGCGTACTGTCTTCAGGGCTACTTGCCTGTGACTTCCATTTGTTCTCTTCACATTCCAGGGTGCAATTTGTCCTCAGATTTTAGGTGTGTCCAGCATCTCTTGCCCAGGAGTGATGACTGGTTTGCTTCCGTGGAACAGAAGTACTAGAGTCGGCTCTGTTCTTCCTGCAATACTATCACCAGGAAGAGGTTCTGACACACTCAGCTTTGTAGTCTCATTCATTCGTGTGGTCTTCCGGTACCCCGCCCCACAAAGTCATCATTCAGCCATGTGTGTCAGAACATAGCACTTTCAAAAGTAGCTCTACCAGGTCTTCCTTGTGAGGTGCCTTTGGATGAGCTCAAACTGCTAACTTTTCTGTTCACAGCCAGGCTCATTAGCTATTTGCATCACTCAGGGACTCCTGTGGCCATTCAGCTCATCTGAGATAAGCACAAGCTACCTCAAGGTTCCTCTGTGGATGTTGTTGATGATGATGATGATGATGGGTACTAACATGCAGTTTCTAAGATTTAGAAAATCTCAGTTTAACCTCCGCATGCCCTGGGAGGTAAATACTATTTGCATTCTCATCTTACCCATAAAGAAACGGAGGCATAGGGAGTTTTGCAAAGCTTTCCCAGGGGGACACATTCAGGGATTGACAGAGATGGTATAGACCCAGGTCCATCTGAGCCCAGAGTCTCGCTCAGAGTCACTATGGTACCTATGGACCACTTCTCTGCTCAGAACCCTTTAATAGCCTTCCCAATGTCCGTAGGATAAAGTCCAAATGCTTCTCATTCCCGATACACTCTGGAAGTATCACTTTTTAATTCTTCCTGTACAATGTACTTTTAATCACTTCATGGCCTTTGTATGAGCCATTTCCTCTACCTTCAGATCCCTACTTACATGGAACTTTCTACAGGGTGTCTTCCCAGATATCTCTGAGTTTGGGTTAGGTGGCTCTGTCCTCACTGTAGTATATTTCCACTGCCTCTTTCTTTCTCTGTCTGTCTCACTTAACTGCAAAGCTGGGGTCAACACTGTGTTCCCATCACGTGGTACCTAGGCAAGGGTTTGGTAGGTGTTTTAGTTCATTAGCATGATTCTATATAGGAGACTGTAATGTTTTTACTGGAAAGAATTTTAACTGTGGTATAGAGTCTATAGATTAAGGTTATTTATCAGTATGGTCCATTGCATTATTCATTTGCTGTGCTCTACATGAAATCACCAAGGCATATATTAAGTAGGATCATCTGAAGAGACCCTGAACCCTGTGGCAATCTGACATTTGCAAGAAGAGTACCCTTACATCAAAGAAACTCTCTCCCACAGTCCCTCCAACAGACAGACAAACACAAAGCCAATATTTTCAGGCAACTTGCATATAGGCTGAAGTACCCACCTACAGACTCCAAAAAATTCTGCTGATCTTTTGCATATGTGTATCCTTGAAAAATATTCATACTTTTCTCCTGAATTTTATTCTACAACTTAAGACATTTCTGTCTAATTTTAAAGTCAATAATCCATTTTGAGTTTATTTTTGTATATGGTGTGAGGTAGGGATTAAAGCTGCTTTTGTTCAAAACGAGGATCCAGTTGTTCCAACGTTCCTGTTCCCCTTGGCATTGTATTTTTGCTGTTGTTAAGTGCTGTCAAGGCAATTCTGACTCATAGCCACCTTATTACTGTTGTTGTTAAGTGCCATAGAGTTGGTTCCGACTCATAGCAACACTATATAGGGTTTCCGAGAAGCAGCTGGTGAGTTTGAATTGCTGACCTTGTGACTCAAAGTCCAGTGTTGATCCTACAGCCCCACACCAGAAGTCCATATAGGACCTTGTTGTTGTTTTTGTTGTTAAGTGCCATCAAGTCGGTTCCAATCCATAGCAACCCTGTACGGGGTTTCTGAGGAGCGGCTGGTGAGCTTGAACCACCAACCTTGCAGTTCAAACTGACTTTGGCATTAACCCACAGCAGGTAGAGTTAGCCACATATGTACAGAGCTATGTCTTGATTCTATTCTGTTCCCTGGTTGGTTTATATGTCGTTCCTCATTGCAAATACCATACTGTCTTATAGAGTAAGTCTTGAAATTAGGTCAAAGAAGTCAAGCAATATACATTTACATCTAAGTAAGAAATTGTGATAGTTTATCATAGCACCACATGATAATAAATTTTATGTTTTTAAAATACCTGGTGAATCTCCTGCCTCAGAGCTGCTGGTCTTTTATCCAGAATGAAGCCTTGAGAGGAAATGGGTGGACATTTCTCATCTATTTCAGCCAATTCTCTGTTTATTATGGTGAAAGACACATGAAGAAGTGCTTATGTTTGGCCGCCTATTGAATTGTGTCAAAATTCTTAAGCTCTCGTCAGGATTTGACTGAAAGTACAAGTGTATTTTCAATAAATGCCAGAAAATAATTTTGGAAACCCACTTTTTCACTCTTACCTTCTCTTTACCTCTGCATCAAGAATCTGGTTTTCCGCGCTTGGTCTGACTTTGCTGGCCAAATCTCACGAAGTAGGTTTCTGTTCTCTGGGTCATCCTCTGTCTCGTGTCTGTCTGTCTCTGTTTACTGTCTGCTTTCTTCCTGCACTGTATGTGTTTTTCTATCCCCCTTTCACCAAAACTTGTCTGTCTGTTCTTCTCCCTCTCCCTCCCTGTCTTTCTCTCTTTCTCTCTCTAAAATATCCAAAATATCTGACGTTGAAGTGAAGCCTCCACAGTTGAATTTATCCATGATGTTTTTTTCCCTTTTTGTTTCTTCAGTTCCTCCGGGAGTGATCCAGAATGGAGCACGAGTTCTGAGTCGAGGGATGTTTCCTGGTGTTCGGCCGTTGCCAATCACTCCCATTGGAATGACGGCAACCATGAGGTAAGGGGTAAAGAGTTGGGGAGGGGTCCCTGTATCCCTTGAAGTCACTCTACCTCATTAAGCCAAGTAAACCTGGTTTGGACATTTCAAAAATGTTCTAGTAACTCCCAGAGACTCCAGTTTAAAAAATGCCAATTTCTCCTTGAACCATCAAATTATCCTGGTTTCTTAGAAGATGAGGAAATAGAGACCAGTTAAATGAAGTCATTATACTAAGAAAGCAGATGGAAAGAGCAATTATGGATGGTCTGTTAACTTAGCTGTCATGGGACTTTGAACTGATTTCAGACCTCGTGGGGCTCCCAGTTCCCTCAGCTGTAAAACAACTCTGTCTCTCAGGAGGAATTGCAGTGAAAAATCAAATGCAAAATTTATCTGTGGAAACTGTTTTGATAAAATAAGTGGTAGCATCATTCCCCAGTTTCTGAGAACAGCACATCAATTGCCTAGGCTTAGGAGCTCTTCCTTGGATAAATGTCTTCTATTCATGCTTCTCACCCCACCACCATCCTGGTTTAGGGTCCATCACCAGCTTAGAACCCTTGCATGCACTAGGGGCAGCTGCTTCTCGGCCCACTCTTGACCACCTATCAGTCTTTGCTAGACTGATTTCCTCAAACATGCCTCTCCACATCGTGGACGCACGTACTATACGATAGTTCAGCACCTACCGCATCCCTGACCTCTCATACCGCTTTTCTACGTGAACCAGGTATCTGGGTCCCAAATAAGCCTCGTATCTGCCCAGCTTCTTCATACCATTTCCTCTGTGTGGATTCCAGACCGCATATCCTTCGTCACAAAGATGATTCTTTCTGAATGAACCCTCCATGCTCGCATCAGACAAATCATGCTTTCCTGTGAACCCATAACCACCATGCTTGGTGTGGCTCTTGGATGAGTTGCCCCTATGTCATTGTAACTTCTGGGTGTCCCTCCATGGAGATCTCACTAAGCACAGGGCCTCCTTGCATGTCACACCATGCTGGGCTCTTGCTGCTCACTTAGAAAAGAGTTGTCAGACTGAGCTGTGTTGTATCTCTTAATAGCAACATCTTGGTGATGATGGATCACATTCACACCTGAAGGCCATAGGACTTTTGCAGTGTCTCATGTCCCAACTGAAATCAATCCAGAAAGTACTTAGCTGGTGCCCAAGGGAGATGCAAAGTTGAAATTTCTTGTGTAAATCTGATGCATGGAATTTCCCCAGCTATGTGGAACTCCTCTATTAGGAAACTTTTTTTTTTTTTTTTAATTAAATGTTTTTATTTTGCATTGAGTGAAAGTTTACAGGGCACATCATCAGCTTCACATTCAACCATTCATATAGCTTGTTTCATTACATTGATTATTATCCCCTCCATATATCATCAGTTAACAGTGTTTCTCTCTATCCTCTTTAGCTTTTTTTTTTTTTTTTGGATGGGGGAGGACTTGCCTTTTTGGAATTTACAGTCTCGGCTTTTAGGGAAGGTTTTTACATTTGTCTGTGGATATCCAGGGCTCATGTATGAGATTACTAACAAGCATTACTGAATAATCAGATGAGGGACAGTTTGCTATGTCTACTAGGTAGCTAAAATCTGATCCTCAGAGCCTATGGTTTGGACGGTCAACAACGCTTGGGCCCACAGGGGCTTGACCTCCTGACCGGGTCTGCACGGTCTGCATCAGATTCCTCCTTATTTATTGTTTGTTTAAGGGACGCTGCCTGTCTTAGGCGGTCAGTGCGAATTCCTCAGTCTTACCAGTCATTGAGACTCATTGCAGCATGGCAATGGCTCTGTCTTAAGTTGCCGAGGTTCCACGTGATCCTTACCCGTCTCTGGCCACACGTCCAGCATAAACAGCCACCATCCGAGGAAGGCAGGGAGGGAGGAGATCGGCTGGGGACCCCATACGCCAGACGTTGCCGGCCCACCACCTGCTCTAAGGTGACCAAGCAGGATCACTATGCTGAGGTTCAGTCAAGTTCTTAGGGGATCTTACTCTCTAGCAGGGGTAGCAAATTAGTAGCCACTCAGTGCTCACTTTGAGAATTACTTATATCATAAATTTGAGCATATAGCTGATGAATATCCACAGACAAGTGTATATTGTTCCACAACCTCCTAAAATGCTGTTGGCTTAAGTTCCAATCAAGTTCTGGATTACTGAAAGATAAAACACAAATCTACTTATACCATGAATAACCTTAGTTGGGAGTGTAATCTGGATATATTGGGTCTTATTTCCCTTAAGCGATCTTCCTTTCTCTAAAGCATTTAGTCTGTTTTGTAAACCTTTGTCTATTTACTCTTGGATCATGTGAGCGAGACTAATATCCTCTATTAGGAAACTTTTGAAAGCCAGAGTGGAAGTCTCTTGATTTCAGGTTAGATCTTGGACCATAAGGATGGACAGGTGAATGAATGGATAGATAACTGTCTTGATCAAGTCACTTTTGACTCCTGGTAACCTTATGTACAACAGAGTGAAACATTGCCCCATTCCTGCGTCATCTTCACAGGAGTCAGAATGTTGAGGTTCATTGTTGTGACAATGGTGACAGTCCATCTTTCCAAGGGTCTCCCTCCTGCTCTCTGACCTTCTACTTCACCCCAAATGATGATGTTCTCCTCTACAGGTCATCCTTCCGGATACCACGGATACCTGATACCATAAGGTTTTTCTTCAGCTAATTTTAGAAATAGGTGATCAGATCTGTCTTCTCAGTCTGTCTGAGTGTGGAAGCTCTGCTGAAACCTATCCACCATAGTTGATCCTGCCGCCGAGATTTGAAAGACTGATGGCATAGCTTTCAGTAGCATGACAACGTGCCAACCAGCACAGTACAGCAAGCTGTGGCAGACAGGTGGTGGATTAGGAGGGAGGTTGAGAGGAGCTAGGAAGAGTGCATGAGTTATAAAACCACTCATCCTTTCTACTAACTTGACAGTGGAGAAACATATGGGAACGGGTCCTTTTCTTGTACTTCTTCAGTATTTCTCTTGGTTCATTAAAGCCACAGTTCTTCTTGTGGTCATAAATGGTGAATCTGTTTTGTGAAGCTAAAATAGCAGTGTTTTTCCTTGACATTGTGAAAGGAACACATTGTGCTTTTCATTCTTGTCTTAAAATCCTTCCGACCTCGCCTCTTAGTTTACCTTTATGCTTATGAAGAATTTGATACTGCTTTGGCATGGAGTTGAGCAATCTATTTTTCATTAGAAGATTTTAAGTGTATAGGTTTCTGTTGTGTCCTATTGATCATTCTTTTAGTGCTTTCAAACATAGCTTTCAGTCTGGTTTTAGCCATCCCTTAAAGAAGGACACAGAAGGTCTAGGCAGAGGAGACAGAGAAACTCGAGACCAAGTTGGCCTGAGCAAGAGCTGCCCTGATGACTTTGTTAGCCTCATGACATCATTAACACAATTTGGTTTGGTAGTACCCCCAACGAGATCGATTAGACACAGTGGCAGCAGCTTTGGGCCTAAACAATAAGATGGCGCAGAACCAGTGTTTTGTTCTGTTGTGCACAGTCAGAACTGACTCAGCAGCACCTTACCACAACAGTAAGTAACCTCTAAAGGCAGCCTCACAACTGGACCAATAAACAACGTCATGGTCAATGGAAAAAAGATTGAAGTTGTCAAGGATTTCAATTTACTTAGATTCAAAAGTCAGTGTTCATGGAAGCAGCAGTCAAGAAATCAAATGCCACATTGCACTGAGCAATTCTTCTTCACAAGACGTCTTTAAAGTGTTAAACAGCAAAGATGTCACTTTGAGGGCTAAAGTGCATCTGACCCAAGCCATGATCTTTTCAGTGGCCTCATATGCATGCGAAAGCTGGGCAGTGAATAAGGAAGACTGGAGAAGAATCAATGCATTTGAATTAGGATGTTGGAAAAGAATATTGAAAGTACCATGGCTGGCCAGAAGAACAAACAAATATGTGTTGGAAGAAGTACAGTCAGAATGCTTCTTGGAAGTGAGAATGGCCAGACTTTATCTCACATATATGTTATCAGGAGGGCCCTGTGCCTGGGAAAAGCTTCATGCTTGGTAAAGTGAAGGGTAAGCAAAAAAAAAAAAAAAAAAAAGGAAGAATACCCCACAAGTGGTTACAACAACAGGCTCAAACTTAACAACAATCACAAAGATGGTGCAAGGCTGGGCAATGTTTTGTCTGTTGTGCAATGAAATGACTGACAAGTGCCTACAGCGTTGGACTCAAATGTAACAGTTGTGAGGATGACACAGGGATGGATTTGACAGCACCTAACAGAGACGCTCTGGTAGCGTAGTGGTTACGAATCGGGCTGCGAACAATAAGGTCAGCAGTTCGAAACTACCAGCCGCTCCGCGGGAGAAAGATGAGGCTTTCTACTCCCGTAAGGATTTACACCCTCGGAAACCCTGTACAGGGTCGCTATGGGTCGGAACCAACTCGAAGGCACTTAACAACAACTTAACAACAGAGACGTCAGAGGAGCCCAGGTTGTGTAGTGGATAAAGCACTTGGCTGCTAATGCATTGGTTTGCGGTTCAAATCCAGTAACCATTCCATGGGAGAAAGATGCAACAGTCAGCTTCCTTGAAGATTGTTGTTGTTAAGTGCCGTCAAGTCATTTCCGACCCACAGTGACCCTGTATAGGGTTTCCGAGGAGGAGCTGGTGAGCTTGAACCACCGACCTTGCAGTTCAAACCAACTTTGCAGTCCAGCGCATTAACCCACAGCACCACACCAGGACTCCTCAAGCTTTGGAAACCCCAAGGGGGCAGTTCTAGTCTTGCCTGTAGGATCCCTATGACTCAGAATCGACTCACCAGCAATGGGTTTAGAGCCTTTATTTGCAATACTAAGGGGAGCTCAGGTAGCATAGTGGTTACGAGTCGGGCTGCTAACCTCATGATCAGCAGTTCGAAACTACCAGCAGTTCCACAAGAGAAAGATGAGGTTTCTACTCCTGTAAAGATTTATAGCCTGGAAACCCTGTACAGGGTCACTAT